ACAATAATAACAAAAAACGACCACCACTACACAATCGCCGCCACAGTTCCACCACTGTTATTCAACTTTAACGTGGGAACTATTAGACAGTCCAAAATATCATTTATGCACTTTATAAACGGAATCATACCTTCCATATTTCATCATCAGAATACAACCTAAGGGGGTCAATATTGCTTCTAATAGTTCCCTCAAATAGGACAGGTTCCTGAGGGACGATTCCAAAATGAGACCTAAGATCATGAAGGCCGAGCTTGCGTATGTCAATCTCATCAATTATTATCTTCCCACTATAAGGTTCTACCAACCTAAAGAACACTTGGATCAGAGTTGACTTTCCACTCCCAATTCAACCAACGACACCAATTTCCTCCCCTCCATGGATGCTGAGAGATATTCCTTTCAATATCTAACCTGCTCAGCTTTATGTCAAAAGAGGGGGATCGCTGCAACTTCCTCGTCGTGGCTGCAGCGACGACTCTGGACCAATCACCACTCATCGCCGCGGCTGTCGGTGGGTAATGAAGGGGGAGAGAGAGAGAGAATGGGTTTGGGGGAAATGAAGTGGGGGACGGGATTGATAAATTAGGATTTTAATATAGTACCTGATTTTTGTAAAAATAAATTTCAAACCTGATTTTTTAAAAGGTATATCTGATTTTTAAAAATGTCAAACTAAACCCCTGGTTTTATGTAATTTTCCCAAAATAATACCTAGCCTAATAGTTAACTAAACCTAGCCCAATTAACCCAAACCCAAACTTAAGCCCAAGCCCAAATGAGTGTTGAAAAACCCAAACCCAAACTGAACCTAGCTTAGCATTGAACCAAACCCAAAACTAACCCCAACCCAACATTGCATCCAAACCCAACCCATGCGACCTCACGCATTAGAGATGACAAAAAAATTTATTTAACCCGAAACCCGTGGGGTCTCACCTCGAATGGAGAGGGGATTACCCGACTAATCGGGTAAACGGGGACGGGACGAGGGTCATTGTC